GTACGAAATTTTTCATAAATTTTGAAAAGATGGCCTAGTTGAATTTCTTACTAGTTTCGTAAAGTAACAGAAATTATTTGTGCAACGGCTTGGTGGGCATAAATCGTATAAATGTGCAAACGTTATGACTGCGCGTTTTTACGGATTATGCTGAGGCTTGTTTTGCTAATGATAACTGTGCATTGCGAGTGCCAGTGCGCTCACGTACGAACACTTGAAATTTGACGTAACTCCGCAACCAGAGCAGCTGGAGTGCTGAAATTTTCTGAGCATGGCCAGAACCATGTTTGATCAAGTGCACACAAAAACAGCATTCACTTTTCATGGGGTAAGGGAGAAGAAAATAACGATTCAGGCAATTCGTACAGGTATAGTATTATGTGCACAGGACGTAAATTTCAAAGGCTCTGTAACATTTAAGCGATTAGCTCAAGGTAGAAGGGTCTGGTATAGCTGCGCTGGATATCTGTTCTTGAGGATGGTTATCGAATTTAGTGGTGGTTCCTGAAGTGTGATACACAGTATCCTGTATGGTGCTTTGTTTTGGGTGTCGGGTTTTCTTCATGTCCCATTGACGTCAAATTCAAAATACAATCTGACTTTTACTTGATTTTCTCGGTTCTTTTGCGAAATTTACACCTTTTGTTCTACATTTCAGCACATTCAGTGGCCTCATCGGGCGATGCTCATTCGGCGTTATCACATTCGTTTGAATGGCCCGAAATAGATGGAATCTCAGCAGGACGAGCAGCCGCCTTGGGGGCTCTCTGTCGAATTATTTGCTCGAAGACAAGCAAAGAGAGCATATCGGATTCGCATCTGGCGCAGTTTTATAAAGTTTTGTATGAAGCATTGCTTGAGGTAGCTTTTTTTTTCAATTTTTTAAAAAATAAATGACTTTTGATGTGAGCATTGGGTAGAACAGCTGGAAAACTTGGTGGCGGGACTGGGCCCAATTCGTTTTTTAAAGCTTAGGATCGCGGTTTTGCTCTTTAAGGACTGTAAATTCGTTTCGATGATAAATTAACTGGCAAGCGCACGTCAGAAGGGTGGGGCCGCAATCAGTTAACTTCTGAAGTATCAATAGATATGTAAGATTCGGATGATTATTGATTCTTGGCAAGTAACTTTACTGAAAAAATATTGAAACCAGCGAATTTTCACAAAAAATTCAGTTCTAGTTATGCGAAATACCAGGGAATATCATGTTTTCCACTTTGCTTGTGCGAGCGAGTTTTTGAAATAAATTTTTTCGAGAGCAGAATTTTTCTCTTTGTAAACAGTCTTTTCAAGTACAGTTTTTTGATTTTATTTAAAAATTCAAATATTTGCTTCAGAAGGATCGTCTGATGCTATGCGCACTGATCTTCTATGGAAATGGCATTTTTCGCCTGGCTCTTAAAGGTGTTGAAATACTTCTGCCACAGTTTGTCCGCGCCATTGAGACAGTTTACACGGAATCCGTCAAAATAAGGTACGTTGAATGTAAGGAAAAGTTTGGAATAATGTTTGTCCGAGCATTGAAATGAAATACTCAGAAGTGCTGATAGAGTAGACAGGTATTCGCTGTTTAAGCGGAATTTCGCGAAATCTAAAATAACAGAAGTGAAAGTAAATTACCTATAAATAATAATAATGGTAATAATAATAGCAGCAATAATAGTAATAATAACAGTAATGATAGTAGTAATGGTAGTGATAATAATAGCAATAATAACGCTTATGGTAATATTAATAGCAATAGTAATAGTGGCAACAATAGAAATAATAACAGTAATAATAGTAGTGATGTTAGTGATAATATTAGCAATAATAACGGTTATAGTAATATTATTAGTAATAATAATAATAGTGGTAACAACAGAAAAAATAACAATAATAATAATAGTACTTATAATAGTAATAATAGCAGTAATAATAATAATAATGGTAGTAGCAATGATAATAGCAATAATAATAGTAAATTATAATAATAAGAATAGTAAATAGTGAGAACAGTAACAAATAATCTGTTGTGTTAAAAAAATTCTGCAAGTGTTTCTAGCGCTATCATTAAATTCCAAGAGACACAAGGGAAGTTTTGCTTT